GGCTTTGATTTTCTGGAACGAGTCACTATACCTTTATTTAATGTGGAAAGCTGAACAGCGGCGGCAGCGACGCCGTCTCTGGGTCCACGATATCCTCCAGAGACGCTCCCAATATGGGGAGTACCACCATCTGCTCCAGGAGCTGCGCCTGGATGACGGTCGATTCCAGCGGTATTTCCGTGTGTCCAGGACCCAGTTTGAGGACCTGCTGTCCCGCGTTGGGGCTCGGATCACCGTCCGGGAGACCAACTACAGGCGCTCTATCTCCCCTGCAGAGCGCCTGTCCATCTGTCTTCGGTTAGTAAATCAAGCGGTTCTCAATAAATAAGATTCCAAATGTTATAATCCAAGTACTTTACATGTAAAGCCATTGTGCCACTGTTTAGCTTTTAGATTTATGCCAAACTAATCAGTTAGTTATGCCAAACTAGACACGATAAGCTCGTTTCAGGTGGGGGTTAGATAATTAATAGTCCATTAGGTTAGATAACTAAATGTTGTTCAATGCTACGTCACTGCTCGATTCAGTCCCTGATTGGTCAACGCCCCGCGAATTGACCAAAAAGTTCAGATTTTTCAACTCGAGCGAGTAGGGCGGTGGAGGCGAAATGGCTCTAGGCGCGCGTCAAACGCCCCTTTCGCCACTTTCGTTCCGCTCTTTTCGTTCAAAACGCCCTGTTCGCCTCGCTCTACTCTCGTCATTCGCACCGCCGGCCTGTCATTCGCTCCTGAGCGCACCCGGCCATAGACATAACATGTAAATCACTCGCCCCTGACTCCTCCATCGCGATCGGTCTGAACACGGCATAACGCTCTGTTTCGGAGTGAGCAGGCCTCTGCTCAGGACCTTTTATGACTCTGTGGTAGCCTCTGCCATTTCTGCTGTATGCTGGGCCCCGGGCAGCACAGAGCGGGACAGAAACAGACTGAACAAGCTGGTCAGGAGGGCCAGCTCCACTCTGGGCTGCTCCCTGGTCTCTGTGGAGGAGGTGAGTGACTGGAGGCCCCTGGTCTCTGTGGAGGAGGTGAGGGACAGGAGGCCCCTGGACTCTGTGGAGGAGGTGAGGGACAGGAGGCCCCTGGACTCTGTGGAGGAGGTGAGGGACAGGAGGCCCCTGGACTCTGTGGAGGAGGTGAGGGACAGGAGGCCCCTGGACTCTGTGGAGGAGGTGAGGGACAGGAGGCCCCTGGACTCTGTGGAGGAGGTGAGGGACAGGAGGGTGCTAGTCAAAGTCACCTCCATCATGGACACACCTCCCACTGCACAGGACTGTAGAGGAGCTGAGGAGCTCCTTCAGTGGAAGACTGAGGCCCCCTCAGTGTAAGAAGGAGCGCTACCGCAGGGCCTTCATTGCCACTTTTTGTACATAATATATCCTGTTTGCACATTTCTTACTTTCTGCACAATCTTGAGTGTTTCTATCCGTGCCAAACGTGACATGTACATTTCTCCTGTGTGAGATTAATAAAGTACATATTATCTTATCTTATCTTTTACTCGTGGAATACCGAGTTTGAAGCGATTGAGACTAAACAGGTTGGAATAATGTTTGTGGAATTTGATGTTGAGCTGGTTTTAAAGGTGCCAGGTAAGGACGGAGTGATTAGGACGCCTTGTAAACTGCTCCTAAACTGTCTTTCCAGGAAGGACTAAACCCGGGCTCATGAACCTGCAGCCTGGAGCTACACAAGACCAGCTCAGCAGTCTGATCCAGGCCCAGACTCAGACTGGGTCTAGACCGGCTCTGTTTGCATTCATAGACAGTCTAGTTTAACTCACAAACCGTGCACAGATGGACGATCCTAACGCGCTCACTCACAGTACATGCAAAAGGGATATCTTGACTTGATTTGATTTTTTTTTAGGGAAAACGCCTCGAAATGCATCATCTCATTTTCGAGAGGGTCCCATGAACATAAAACAAACAATACATATCAGCACAATACAAACAATTCACATTTATACATTTAACACACACAGGACAGGTTTGCACTCTCAGATCCCACTCCACCTCCTACGATAATGACAGAAAACACAGACATCATTTCTGTATACAACAGTCAGATACAGCAGCTGGTATAATAATACAACTTAAAATATACATACAGATATTACAAAATAAATACATAAAATTAAAATAAAAACAGCTACCTGTAGTAACATGAACAGGGAGGGGTAAAATAACAATAATCTAGATAATTCAGATTTAAATAAGCTAAAGGAGGTTAAGGATCGAATATGTATGTGGGTTATTCAGTCGGTTGGAGCCCTGTATGAGAAAGCTCTACTTCCGACTTCTTTATAGATTTTTGGAACAGAAAAGGAGAGGGAGTCGGTGCTTCTTAGTGAATAGGTTGGTGAATTGGGGAGAAAAAAAAGTTCCAAATATTAGGGACAGAAAACAAACCGTATCCAATGAAAATAAGATAAGATAAGATGTGCTTTATTTATCTCACAGAGGAGAAATTTACATGTCACGTTTGGCATGGATAGAGACACTCAGATTGTGCAAAAGGAGGAAATGTGCAAACATGTTACATGCAGGATATATGTACAATAAAGTGACAATAATTATGTGCAACAAAAGTGACGAGTGTCAATTGGAAACAGTGTCAATAGTAGTGCAGGTTTTCACACAGTGATCATTTAAAGTGACTTATTGTACAAATGACGTCTGTAGTTTGGTTGTAAACAGTTCCGATTGTCCCAAATAATGTGCCGTGATGAGTTCGATGTGGACATTTAAGGAAGAATCTGCAAAGTCAGTTGAAGAGTGTATTTACAGAGACAAGGTGAAATTACAAACACCAGGGTCACAGAGAGCACTGAGTCACAGATTTGTTTAATCCAAAAGGGTTGGTGTGGTACAAACAGTTACAGAGCTGGAGGAGTTTACTGTGACAGGGAAGTCAT